CTCAGAGACTCCAGCCGCGGAGAGGCGCCTCCGGGACTGTTGTGAAAAACACATTCTCAAGACGGTCGAGACGGCTTCCTCGCCCATTTCCGGGCCCCAGGTTTTTAAAATGAAGCACTAACGGCGCTGGGAGCTTCGGCTGTGTCTCCCCACCCCGGGTCCCTCCCGGCCTCCCCGACCTGGGGCAGCGGGGTCTCCGCACCCGGGGCGGACTCACCGTGGTGGGTCGGCGGGTACCTCTGCACCGTGGCCCTCACCGAGTTTCCGTAGTAGGACGGGACGTGGTTGCCTTGACCGTCGATGTTAAAAAGTACATCCACCTCCTCGGGCAGGGGGTACTGCGCTGGGTCCATGTAGGAGTGGCTGAGGCCCGGGTGGTGCGTGTCTGGGTGCTGCCCGTTGAGGACCGCAGGGTGGTGGTGGCTCACCCAGCGCGGCTGGTCTGCCGTCACCTCCATGGCCCCGGCTGCGCTCGCGCCCTCTCGCCGGGCCCGGAACCCGCGGGTGGAGAGGGAGGGCGATCGGTCTGGGCGGTCAGGGGGTGGGGGCTCCGAGGATCTGCAGGTGAGCTTGCCGTCGGAGGAGCAGGACTCGTTTAATGATTTGTTTTCAGTATGGGAATGGGAAAGGTGGGAAGGAAAGATGAGCAAATAGGAATGGCCCCGGCTGCGCTCGCGCCCTCTCGCCGGGCCCGGAACCCGCGGGTGGAGAGGGAGGGCGATCGGTCTGGGCGGTCAGGGGGTGGGGGCTCCGAGGATCTGCAGGTGAGCTTGCCGTCGGAGGAGCAGGACTCGTTTAATGATTTGTTTTCAGTATGGGAATGGGAAAGGTGGGAAGGAAAGATGAGCAAATGAGATTTTTTTTAAAAAAAAATCTTTTGAGTGGTAGTTTAGCAAAGAGAAGAGGAAGAAAAAAAGAAATTAAAAAAAAACAGGTACAGAGGATAAAGGGGCCCCAAACTGCAAAGGGGGGCGAGGACAGCTGGAATTCTGCAAGTGAGGCTCTTCTCCAGCGGCTCCAAGGCGGAGGCCCTCCTCGAGTCACCTGCAAAAGAGAGAAGGGGAGACCTGGGTGAGCTCCGAAGTTCTTTGGCACCTGAGTTTATGAAGTGGCACCACCTGCCCTCGAGCCGCCGGCCCGCGCCCCGGGACACGCACACACACGCGCACACGCGCGCACCTCCTACAGAGCTGGGAACACCCGGACGCAGCCCAGGAGGGAAAGACTCCCAATGGACATCCCCGCAGCCTGGCTCTCCCGGGAGCCCAGGAGCCCGGGACTGGCTGAGCCCTTCCAACTCGGACGACACTCCCTCCCTCCGGGGGACACCGGTCCCAAGGAACTTTCTTCCAGCCTCTAGAAACTCTCCAAAACAGGAGGGTTGCGTTTTAAATGTTGTACAGTTTTCCCAAATGCAGAGAGGGGGGAAATCAAACTTAAATAAATAAATAAATAAAAGTCGCCGGTACCAACCTGGTTAGCGAGGAGCAGAGAGGAGGAGGAGGCGTGTGACCTGGAGCAGAGAGTGCTCCGTCAGATTGCGTGGCTTGCTCTGTCTTGCGCTCTCCCCGTCTCTCTCTCTTTTCCTCTCTCCCTCTCTCAGTATTTTTTTTTTTTTTACAGGGAATGCATTCTTTCTGAAAGTATCAAGACGGCGCCAGGCAGCTCAGTGTTCGCAGACAGCTGTGGCGCGACGCAACTTAAGGAGGTTCTAGTGTCATCTGCGAGAGAGGGAGGAGCCTGGCGCTGGCGAGGAGGGGACAGCCTCCCCCGCGCAAGGAAACTGCAACCCAAACCCGCTCCGGGGCTTCACCCCCAGCCCCTCCTCTCGCTCTGGCCCTTTAAATGTGGCTCCAGCTCCTGCCAATTCTTTCCGGCTGGGTGGACTATTCCTTGCCGGAGAAACCGGCCTGTTCCATTCATAAACTTAATTTCTACAGGCAGAGTTGCTTTTTCAGACTTTTTAAGTGAGCAATTTTTTTATTATTATTCATTCTGGGGCGTATTGAGAAGTTCATTGACTTGGTGCTATGAGCATGTAAAACTGATCAGAAAAAAACAAAATTAACGTCCAAGTACTTTGAGATTTGCCTCTGGAGAGAAATGTCTGCGAGTTGAGAAATCGGGCATGAGAAATATGCCTTTGATTGAAACTCCGCGTTACTTTTGGAGTCGTTGTCAATACGTTCCCTGGCCTTTGGAGTTCACAAGCCTCGCGAAGGTTTCAGCTGTTGCAGCTGTCCTTTTCAGACCCAATATTTGTAATCGAACTGTGCTTTTGACTTCAGTGGCTAAAGTGGATGGGATGGATGAAAAGGAAAGAGGAAGACTCCAAATAGTTCCAACTGCAGTGAGGGACTGGAAAGGCGGGACTCGGGTCTTCACTCCAGTGACCCAACTTTTCCTGACTTACTCCGATTCCAGCGTATTTCCCCAGCCTCCTTCAGCGGCCG